TCTCCCTCTCCCTCTCCTTCTGTGTGTGCTCTCTCTCTAGCTCTCACTCTCTCTCAAATAAATAAATAAAATCTTTAAAAAAAAAAAAAAGAATTGAAGACCTCATGAGACGCCTGGGTGGCGTCTGCCTTCAGCTCAGGTCATGATCCCAGGGTCCTGAGCTCCCCCGCATGGGGCTTCCTGCTCAGTGGGGAGCCTGCTTCTCCCTCTGCCTGCTGCTCCCTCTGCTTGTGCTCAAGCTCGCACTTCCGCTGTCTCTCCCTCTCTCTCTGTCAAATAAATAAAAATCTTAAAAAAAGATTCTCTCTCTCCCCCCGCCCTTCCCCCTGCTCTCTCTCTCTCTCTCTCAAAAAAAAAGGAATTGAAGAGCTCTTTTCTTGACTTTCTTCTTTTTTTCTTAATTCATTAATTCATTATGAAGATAACACTTAGCTGAGCTTTCTCTAGAATCAAATGAGATAATATATTTAAACGTGCATCATGAGCTATGAATGATAATGGTTAACAGTCTGTATATAGAAATTTCAGTTATTAGTAATTGTGCCTATGTTTTTGTGAAAAAAATTCAAAATATAAAAGTGTTTAAGGAAGAGGACAGAAGTTGGAGACAGTCTATATTTTGTTAAAAATATAATTAAACAATTTAGAAAGTCTTTTTTTTAAAGATTTTATTTATTTATTCGATAGAGACACAGCGAGAGAGGGAACACAAGCAGGGGGAGTGGGAGAAGGAGAAGCAGGCCTCCCGCGGAGCAGGGAGCCCAATGCGGGGCTCGATCCCAGGACCCTGGAATCATGACCTGAGCCGAAGGCAGACGCTTAATGACTGAGCCACCCAGGCGCCCCAATTTAGAAAAAGTCTTAGGATAAGCATGAAAAGATTAAAAATAGAATGTGTTTATCAAATTAAAAAATAAAAATAGAATGTGTAAATTCCAAATGTCCAAAGAAAACTCCCTTGGTCCAAGAGAAGGCAGGAAAAGAGAGAAAGGGGAAAATGCAAAGAAAAAAACACGATAAACAGAAAACACAAAATAGGAAGGCAGAAGTACATCTACATCAATAATAATAAATGCAGATAGATTAAACTCATAGTAAAAGAAAATCTCAGATTGGATTTTTTTTCAAGGCACAGAATCTAGTTTTATGCTTTTTCTCAAAGATGCCCTTAAAATTATCCAGAAAAGTTCAAAATAAAAGGATGGAAGAATATGTATTAGGTAAATACTAAGCAAAAGAAAGCTGGTGTAGGAAAATTGATACAAAAACACAGTAGCATGGCACATCACAAACATCATACCAAGCAGAGGTAGTCAATCTACTGAGCAAGAACAACTGTGAGATATAACCAAAATGCAACTTTACTTTTGTCTAATACTTTAAGCTTTGCCCAGGCCCCATGGCTTTGCTGCTCACTCCAAAGAGCCCTACAGTCACTTTAAATAATAAATCTAGCTTCGTTTCAGTGACTAGAACCCCCAGTCCCTAAAAAAAAAAAAAAGAAGAAGAAGAACCCTCTGAACTCAAAGTTAAACCTCTCCTCACTCAGCTAGCATCAAATTCAGGTGGACCTCCCACCTTTGGAGTAAGGGATGTGTTGGGTTTCTTCTCTTTCCCCATCCTCCCCAGCTTGCTAATTTTGACTTCAGGCCTGTCTAGGGTTGAAGGGAGGGAGTAAACAGAAAGCTATGGTTGTGTAGTAAGTTGGCTTCATGCTTTCTGGGTCTAGCTGACATTTAAAGCAGACTCTTATGTGAGGCTCCCCCACTGCAACTTTTGTGTCAAAAGCTAAACATTCTATTGCTGTTTCCTCTTCAGCTCTGGGTTTTCCAGCTGTCCATTCCATACAGTTTCTCTGATGGAATCCTTAGCACCCCCAAACAGTTTTCTTCAGCAGGCCCCTCAATACTAAACATTATACTCCTGCATGACCCACTTTTGATACATGAGAAACGCCCATATATCTTTTGCCCCCAACAAATTGGTAGTATAGACATCCTAATACAGTCACCTCTCCTTTGCTCCCACCATCACCACAGTGGCATTCTTTAGCCCTTAAGATTTCTCATGCTGGATTCGGATCCCATTTCACTGTGCCTCCAAACTCCAGGAGATACATATCAAGCTTCTTGGGGCCCAGCCGAAAGCCTTGGGATGAAGGAGAAAGCACCCCAACTCTTCCCCCTTGGACACCCACTCCAAAGAAATCCTCCTCACAAAAATTCCTTCTCCATATCTCCTCTCTCTTGACCCTTTTAGTCCTCCTTGTAAGTTTTAGAGCTGCTTCGTTATTTTCTTTGAAAACCTGGCTTTAGACTTTCCTATCTGTTAAATCTTGGTGCAAAAGAGGAAACTTCCAACTTAACATTCCTCATGCATATTTACACCAACCAATCTCCCAGTCCTGGAAGGTTACCATCTAAAGTTTAAAAAAATTTAAATGGTAGGAGTATGGGTTTTGGAGTATAATGAACCTAGGTTAGAATATAGGCTCCACAACTTACTAGATTTAGGGCCTTGGAAAATACACTCCCCGAGTTGTTTCTTCTTCATGTAAGGAAATACTGCTACCTGCCTTACAGGGTTCTTAGGGGTTTTTTTTTTAAGATTTTATTTATTTATTTGAGAGGGGTGGGGAAGGAACACGAGCTGCGGGCGGAGGCAGAGGGAGAGGGAGAAGCAGGCTCCCCACTGAGCAGGGAGCCTGACATGGGGCTCGATCCCAGGACCCCGGGATCATGACCTGAGCTGAAGGCAGACACTCAACCAACTGAGCCACCCAGGCGTCCCTCTTATAGGGTTTTAAGAGACTCAAACCAAAACTCCAAACACTGCATCAGGCCCTTAGTGGGCACTCAAGCAAATGTTAGGTTCCTTCCCATCTTGCCTTTTCCCTTTCTTGAAAAACATAGCTTTGACACTCTCTACCATAAAGAACATTTGTAAATGTAACAAGGGGAGATACAGGTATGCTCTTCAGTGCCATTTCTGTATTCCAGAGTAAGCTGTCTAATGGATACGGTATAGGAAAAGGGACAATATGATCATACCATTCTCATTTTGGGAGTTACCCATCTAATGCAGTTGAAGGTAGGGGACATAATCATGTCATTGAACTGGTTCATGTGTTTTCCTGAACCTGAATTTTAACTTCTAGGTTGAAAATCAATAAAGCATACATACTTCGAGCTCCAGAACTTTAGATTGAGAGTTCAGTGCCAAACTCATCAATAGCTATAGGACCTGGTAATACCCTTCCCCTCTTCTGCCTTAATCAATCAAAGATGTAAAACAGCTGATGTTATTTAATATGTGAGAGACACTAAGTGGTCTGTATAATAAATCACGTAAACCTCACAACAACCCTAAGAGAAAGTAATGTGATTATACTCTTTTAAGAAAAGGGGCACAGAAGCCAAGGACACAGAGCTAAAAGTGGTAGACCTGGGACTCAAGCACAGTTAGTTAAGCTCTTTATTATACTAGCCTGCCTCTTGGAAAAATAGTACAACTATTGAGAAATGTGAAACTTGAAATCTCATCTGTGAAAGGACCCTGACCCTGTCACCAGTTCAGGCCCTCCTGGAAGCAAATACCAAGACAAGAGTTGACATACAAGAGATTTATTGGGGGAAACACCTATGAAAGATACAAGGAGAAGGAGCAGGAGATGGGGAGAGCCTTTAGACTGTCAGGTCTATCTCACACCTGTGAAAAGAGAAGTAAGGAGGGAGGATTAGGCAGAAAGAGTCCCAGACTGTAGTGCAATAAGGAGAAAGTCTGTACCAGGCCAATGGAGAGTACAAGCAAAGATCAAAGGAATCGTCCAATGAGCAGAAATGGCCCAGCTCTAGCTGCGCAACTGTGCTCCGTGATAGTGTGGGAGCAGTCTGGGGAAAGTGTGGTCTTAGCATAAATGTCAGGGGAGCTCCAAAGGTTCTTTGGAGGAAACAGCTGTGTGTCTCCATGGCTACCACAGACCTGGTGACTTTTTCCTGGCAGTCATCCACATACCTTCTACTGATTAGAGCCTGAATTTTTGCAAGGAACCTGAAGCCAATCCCTTCTATACGAAGCCACCAGAGGAGCTCCCACTCTCAAGCACTGTCACCTAAAAGCCTGGGTATCCTGGTTAGCAGAGGGCTCTATCCAGGGTCTGGGAGCCTCAATGCTTTCTGCTCTGGAGTTGGCTAGGCAAGTCACTTCTTAGACATGTGATGGAGATACCAGCCTTCTGTGTGAGCAGGGAAGTGGTGAGAACCCCAGAGCACCAGGTTCTGGAGGCTGCTGACCACCCACCATTAATGCCTCCAAAAGCATCTTCACACCAATTTACAATTGGATGATAGCCCTGGCCCCCAAGTCACGGGCAGGGCCTGCAATGCATAGGGATGTTCACACAAGAGGTGAAAACCCTTTTCTCCTAAGCTGTTGGACCACATGCCTTTGCAAGTTCCCTTTACCCGGAGTCTTCTCTGACTCCGGGCCTGGGCTGACACAGACATCAGAGGCACTGCATGCACACAGCAATGTTCAGGGCAGAATCACCGACACAGGCTGGGGCACATCTGAGGCCCTTTGGGGAGTCTGCGCAAGGAGGGTCGAAGAGGGATGGGTGACGTCTTGTCTGAGGTCTAACCCCATTTGTGGAAAAGCTAATTCACTAGACTCAGAAGAAGAGCCAGCTCCTTCTGCTTCAGCCCCAGGTTACCTGGTCAGACCCAGGTCAGACATCTACCTACTCAAAGACCGTCCCAACCAATGCTTCCAGTTAGGAATCCTTGGGACTTTATCTCCTCCCCTTCAAAAAGTTCCCAAAAGAGAAGGGCGAAAGGGGGAAAAGGCCAAGTGCTCTGACCTGCAATGGGGACCGCTGTTGCCCTCCAGATAAGTGTGGCCAGGACAATTTGGCCACCAGCCTCAGGGGGTTTGGTGCCTGCTGCAGGCTGGAGCAGAGAAACCAAAATCAGACCCACCCTGGAGAGACAAGTGTGACTTGGGTGAGCCTTTCCACCTCCTACCTGAGCACCGCCCCTCTGAGCACCAGCGGGTGGATTCTTCCTGTCTTGTCAGACTGGCACAGTGAGCCTCTGGAAACTTCTCTCGCTCCAACTGGAATCCAGCCC